GGCATCCGACGACTCAAGACTCAACCCAGGTGGCCAGTTGTGAAGTCAAGGCGGCTATGGGTTTCGGTACTGCTGACTTAGCCTTCTATTCAGTCATGTAGAAGATTTAAAAAGACAGACAAGTTTTTGACCGATGGATCGATGTATTGATTGGTTCTTCCTTCCATTTATTGGAAAGCTTCAATACAATTTTGACATATTCTTTGATTATATAAATATTTTTATTTCGTTTTAATTATTAAATATTAAAAAAAACCGCTGAATACAAGAGTAAAGTAACCGAGGATGGAGGAGTGTTACTGCTAGGAACAGCGTCCGCCTGATGCATCGGCGCCATCATTGGCCCCTATGTGCTGGTGGCTCCTACCAAAACATGCCCACGAACAGCGACAGGCACGACTGCTTTTTAACACCAGCCAGTGGTCAATCAAGTGGGCGTAGGTCTCCAGCGCGCATGAATTTAGGATTTCTATGCAAAGGGGAGCTGCGCCAAGCAAAGCATTGATAGGTAGCCGTAGCTTACACGTATAATTTATTTATTTGGCTAATCGCTGTGATGATCCCGTAAATAGGGTTTGGTTTATCATTACTGAAAGCTGACTTTTTTACTGAAAAATTATTTTAAAAAAGTTATAGAATTATATATTCAATAAAAAAACACCTCGGAGTGGAATAATAGTTGGAAACTTTAGCTTTCTATTAGAATAAGATTTTAACTCAGTTTGGTAAGCAATTTTTTATTTAAGGGAAAAAATATTTCTAAACAAATATATTTATGACTTTCTTTTTTAATCAATATATATATAATTGAATTAATTTGCAAAAATCATTCCGAATATAACTTAAATGTTAAACATTAAGAAAATAGAATAAAAGAAATTTAAAAAATACAGAGACCCTTGAATTCTAATCTAAAAATAGGATCTACCTATAGCTTCTTCTTGTCATATTGTTTTTAATGTTCAACAACACTATTTTATTTATCAAGCTATAGTTCTTCCTTGATTATTTTAGGTCAAAAAATAAATACATTTTTCTATTTTAACCAGCTCTTGGGTTAAGTTCTACCGGTTAAAAAACGAAATGTATCTAGAAATACATCAGTCTTTCGTGCGCAATGCAAAGAAACAAGTTCTTAAAAGTTACAATTACCTGTAATTTAACACGTGTGGGCTAAATATTATGCACACATTAAATAGAAAAAAACTACATGAATGAAAGATGGTTGCAAAATTTACATAAAATATTTACGTTAGTTATCGAATTTTACAATGATTTTAATGATTTCTGACTATAGAAATCATCAATTTTAATGTCAAAAGATTACATGTGATAAAAGAAGTTTCATTTATATATTTTTAAAATTTAAAATGACCTAAAAATCAGATTTTTTACTTTGATTTTTTTAGTGATTTTTTTTAAGGCTATTTATGAATTCATAAAGGTTGTTATGCTCTTTTCTAAATGCTTTAGATAAAAAATAATTTTTTAAATAAAAAAATATAAATTATTTTTCAAATATAAAGAATCTCAAATAACACTTTGTCTAGGATATTTTTTTTTAAAAAATAGCAGTGACCTAGTTGCATTTTAAAAAAATTGAGCCTATGTGTGGCTCGCTCTTGCCAGCCCACAAATGGGCTCTTTCTTTAAAGGGCTATGTCAAGCGATGTTTGGCCTGTGTTTTTATATATATATATTTTTAAAAATTATATTTTTTTATGTGTTTTTTAATAATTTTTTAATATTTCAATAAATATCCACTCTATTTGATTTTCTATTTTTCTATTTAGCCTTTTTTTAAAATATTTATTTATTTATTTATTTTGTACAATTAAAATTATATTTTTTTTATGTGTTTTTTAATGATTTTTTAATATTTCAATAAATATCCATTCTATTTGATTTTCTATTTTTTTATTTAGACTTTTTTTAAATATTTATTTATTTATTTATTTTGTACATGTTTAATTTTTAAAGAGGTTATTCTAATTTATCTATAATGTTTATATGTTATATATAATTGAACTTTATTTTTAGAAATAAAGATTATTTATTTTTTAAAGGAATTTCTAATAAGTGCAACATTGCAAGATATTTTTTCTCTTTGATTTCATTCAATCAATTTTATGTGTGTTTTTATTTTCACTATCATTTTATTAAATAAAAAAATTAATTTTAATAAATATAGTCA